CACTTGTCTAGATTGAAGAGGAGTTTGCTACTTTTCTTCTATCATCTTTGTGCCAGTCTTGAAATCTTTTCTTGCTGGATACCAGTGCCAGCCTTCACCTCCAATCATACTGGCTTAATTAATCCTGAACATTCTGGGCTTTGCTGCTGTTGATCATTCAAGTTTACTTCGCCATCCTCCACTCACATGAAGTATTACCTGCGTTAGACCTGTCCACCTGCTCCTCTTCTTTCAAATCTTATTGAAGGTTCATCTCTTCAGCATCACAGTCTTTCTCTGATCTAGTAATTTTACCTTCTCATGTCAAGTCAGGTTATCAGTTAATATTATTGAAGAGTGCCTTCTATGCTGGTCATTCACCCATAGCTTTCTATATTCATTTTATTAAAGGTTAAATTGTTATAGCAAAGATATCTAGATGAACATGAGCTAATATCTGTGTACATAACTGTCTTAAAGGAAGCTCTTAGTGGCTTAGTAGTAAGGAGCTGTACTGCCAAACCAAAGGTACATAGTTCAAATTCACTAGCTGCTCCACAGGAGAAAGATGAGCAATCTCCTCTTGTGCAATTGACAGCCTCTGAAAACCCACCAGAGGAGGGTCAGCTATGAGTTAGTTCTGACCCAATGGCCATGAGCTATTGTTTGAATTGTCTTGAGTTGAGCAGACCATATGCAGAGGTAGCTCAGCACAGGACATTCATAAGGGACCCAAGTTCCCTTTCTCCTCTGGCTGTGCCATACTTTAGGATGTGGACCAAGCCTGCACAATTCCTATTCCCAGAAAAAGGAGAAGAACATGAAAGGATGTAATTTTATTCTAAATAAGCGAGGCAGAAGCTGCATGTAGTCAGCTGTCAAATGATCCCTCTCTGGGACAAAACAGGCAGAGAAATGTTGTTTTTAGCTTAGCATCTATATTCTCGAGAAGAAGAGGAAACTAGATGGGAGGGAGCCACCAGTGGTCTTGTCTCTGTTTCATGGAAGCACCATGATAACTTATGCAGGAGATCTGGTGGCCTAGTGCTTAATAGGCAATTTCCTCCCGTGTGATTTATAGCCTTTGAAAATCCCATGGAGGGTCTGCTATGAGTTGGTTCTGACCTGATGGCAATGAGCTTGAGGTTTATTTTGTTTCTTTTATTTATTTTATTTTTTTTTTGTTCTAGTAATTTCCCAAGATAGGGAAACTGAGTTTGAGAGTGTTAAGAATATTGTCCAAGTTTGTCCAGCTCTTTTGTGAGAGAGTAAATGATCTACCTAAAACACACTGATTTTATAGGCTAGGAGCTTGCCCTACACAATATATTTGTCAGTTAATATATATGTCCTCTTAAGTTTTCTGACCCAGTTGCAACCATGCATGTTCTTTGATTGTAGAAACAGGATATTATTTTTGATCCATGCCTCCGGTAAAATTTCTTGAATATAGTAGAGACTCATTGGATGGCTGTTACTTAGTGTTGTGTTTTGTTGGCTTTATTTTCCTTAACAGAGAGTAAGGTCAAATAAATAATTTTTTAATTTCTTGGTAACCCATACCAGTTTAAACTTTTATTCAGAGCTAATTTTTACAAATGTCAATGTATAATGATTACTTCCTCCAGTGATGTGTTTACTAACCCCACCCACCTGGGGATGGAAAGGCCAGAGGAGATCATCAGCAAGTTGTCAGAATGAGGGCAGTAACTTCTGACTCAGGAGGGCTAGGCAATTGTAACCTCTTGATTGCTTTTATAATCCCAAGGTAAATGTAATTAGTTACTGAGCTGGTAAAAAAATCAGACACTCACAACTGCAAACTGACCTATAAAAACAATCCTATATGACACTTGCAAATTTTCAAAGGCAGTAAATTGTATGGGAGGAGAATTCCCATCTTTTTCCTGTGGAGCAGCTGGTAGATTCGAACTACACACCTTTGAGTTGGCAGTGCAAGACCTTTCCACTAAGCCAGTAAAGTTTCCTATAAAAAAACAAAACCAAAAGGAAAACCAAAAATCAATGAAGGGAAAGATAATATGCAGTAAAGGGATGGTCAGCACAATACCAATAGCGAAAGTGACACAGAGAGTTAGAGAAAGACAAATGGAAATCAGAATTGCAGGGAGGAAGTTGTAAAACTGAGATTTCATTATGCTGTTGTGTACCTTTCAGTCGGAACTGACCTAAAGGTGACCCTCTAGAGGGTTTTCGGAGGCTGTAAATCCCGTGGGAGAAGACCATCCGTCTTTCTTCAGGGAGCATGCCTTTTAGTTAGCAGTGCAGTGTTAGCAAAATGTGTGTGTGCTGTTGAACAAATAGTTATATTGCTTTGCAACTTTCATTCAACCACAATAAAAAAATATGACCAAGGAAAAAATAACCCACATAATTAAAAATCAAATATATCTAAAGATAAAAAACAATTACTATAAGTAATAGTTCTGTAATACATAAACCATGGTACACCTACTCTTTTTTTATAGTCTAGTTTAGTATCTGGCATTTGTCACATTTGCTTTCATGGGGGTGGGGGAGAAATGTATCTGACTATCTTACATCTTAAGAAAACATATTTGGCCGGAATAAATGCCTAGATGTGAGGTGAGAGAGAGTCTGGTTTTAATGGCTGTGGTTATGTGTCAACTTAACGGGGCTGTGAGCCTCAAGGGGTTGGTAATGATATACTTTTTAATTTAGCAGTTATGTAACAATGAAATTTAGATTTTTGTAATCAAAAAACCATCCTTCCTTTTTCATCTGATGTGTTCAGTCTCAGTTTTCCCATGACACTGATTTTCACATAAGGAACTGATCTTTGGAGTTTAGGTTTGTTGATACACGAGGAGTAAACAAAGAAACAAGCAAAACTCAGATTTATTGTGGTCCCCGCAGAACTGACTCATAACTGACCCTCCTCTGGTTTCTGAGGCTGTAAAGATTGCCCATCCTTCTTCATCAGAGCTTCTGGTAGGTTTGAACCACAGGAGATGTGCAACCTTTGGGTTAACAGCAGAAACATAATAAAAGCTATTTAAAAAATTTGTTTTCTCACTCCATATCAACACCTTCAAGCTCTTACTCTGTTTTCTGTTAACTTGCTTTCTCTTTTTTCTCTCTTTCCTCTATTTATTTTTTCTTCCCTCGATATGGTAGACAGTCTCTAAATGGATTTCAGTGTTCGCTATTTTATTAATTTCCTCCTTGAGTGCAGCCTTGACCTAGTGATTTGTTTCCATTGAGTAGGATACAGTGAAAGTGACACAGTATCCCTTCTTGAACCTAAGGAAAGTGAGTTCCCACATTTTAAATTGTCCTCTGGAGATGCATATATCTACTTGGATGCTGTTTATGGTCTCTTTAGGGTATATTCCCAGTAGTGGAATTGCTGGGTCAAATGGTATCTCTATTTGCAACTTTTTGAGAAAGCGCCACCCCGCTTTCCACAGTAGTTTCACCATTTTACACTCCCACCAACAGTGAATAAGGGTTCCAGTCTCTCTACAACCTCACCAGCATTTGTTGCTTGCTGTTCTGTTAAATTTTGTTATTCTTACGGGGGTGAGATGATATCTCATAGTTGTTTTGATTTGCATCTTTTTCAGAGCTAGGGATTTTGAACATTTCTTCATGTGCTTTTTGGCCATCTGAATGTCTTCTTTGGTGAAGTGTCTGTTCATATCCTGTGCCCATTTTTTTATTATTATTATTTACCTTTATCTTGTTGTGATGCTCAAGTATTTTGTAAATTCTAGATATAAGCCCCTTATCTGACATGTCATTACCAAACACTTTTCCCCAGTCTGTGGCTTCCTATGTTTATCACGGCTTTGTTCGCAATAGCAAGGAGTTGGAAACAACCTAAGTGCCCATCAAAATGAATGGACAGAGAAGCTGTGGTATATTCACACAATGGAATACTATGCTGCATTGAAAAACAAGGAACTCATGCAATATTATTCAAAATGGGTGACTCTGG